ATGACCCGCACCGGGCTCACTATTAGCCAGGTAATTACATCTGGTACCTACGACTGATAACTGTTGGTACTAACAGAATCCTCTAGATCAGCAATTGGTTTATCAACGCGAGAAGGCGACAGCTACCTGCTCTTCGGAACCAGATGCGAACTGGTGGAAGTGATCTCGATTCCCAACGCCAATCCCCCTTTAGCGATGTGGACCATGCCTCCTCTGAATCTATGCCATCCCCCAGCCAGCTAGCCTCGGCGATGTGAGCAATCATGACTGCCTACAACTGTTTTGCCTCTATCGACATTGCCCTCGTTGAGCCTTATTCTACCTGGAAAACCTTGGCTAGTTAATAAGAGGGTCGACTGCTGCCTTCCCTCGTTGGAGCGCGATCACAAGGCATATGCAGCATATCATGATTCATGGGACAGAGGTTGTCAAAGCCAAATAAACGTACGAGATCAGGTTGACGAATCTCCTTTTTCCGACTTTAATATTTTTATCGCCATCTCCATGACCCGAGTGACTTCGACGAGATCACCTTGATACCCTCTACCGTTTCACTAATCAGTTCCTACATTTTGCATGGAAGCAGTCCACAGTGGTATGAGCGTGCGCCTTGACGCTTGGAAATGATTCAAACCACTCAAGCCACAGGACTTCTCTTTCCTAACTTTGGAGTTCTTACTATTACTTATATATGATTGATTGCATTCAAGGTGTTTGGATCGTTATCTTTTGAGTTTTTTACGCTCTCTATATCGCACTTGGTTTTCTTTTACTTTTCCTTTATCTTTTTTTTTTTTTTTTTTTTTTTTTTTTTTTTTTTTTTTTTTTTTTTTTTTTTTTAATGTGACGAGATTCTGCCAATGAGGGCCGAACATCAATGACATTCCATGTACAGTATCGCGTATGGTTGATGGCAACATACTTAGGGCTAGACTGTTTTTCTGTTTCTATTTTTCTTATATCAAGGCTTGTGGATTTGGCATCTTGTTGATAGACAAAACGGGGGACATTGGTCACTCAATATCTAATTGATACATTGGAAAGAAAATCCTTCACAACCTTTGCCCCTTTTTCCTTTTCCCCCTTCTTTTTTTTTGGGGGGGGGGGCCGCTTGGCTCTCTCATAAGCACTACCATGGTTTGCTTATCCTAAACCTTGTTACTTTACATTTGACCGAGGTTTGGTTACCAGGGAACATCCGACGTCGATTACCGGTCTAGTACCAACTCCGGTTCTAACAGTGCAGATCCTGTCAGGTTTGGACGGAATGGCACCAAGAAACTGGATATCCAGGGCGACAAAGTTATTCTCAAATAAGTCTCGATGGCGCGAGGAATGACCATGGGAAGGTCCGTTGCAACCAGATCAACCCGTGGGCCTGGAAACGAGGCCGGGACACACCGAGCGGTGACGGAAACCGCGCTGTCACCACGTCATGAGGAGCCCTAAATTTTGGTTCCGGCTGGGCGGGACAACTCGATTGGGAGCGCTTAATTGCCGGCCTCGTGGTCCGTCCAAGATCCTTTCCCTCACACTGGAGCTGCATGTGAGAGTCGGTCAACGAGTAGTGGTAAGTAGTATGTGGCTCCAACCGAGCTCAGTGTGTGGCTTAGCCCGGTCGTAGAGGGGGTGGCGCTGTTCATTCTTCATTCACTGGGGACAGATACGAGGCACGTCGATCACGATGCCAACTTGCCACCTCAACCTGTGTGTAATTTAAATTGAACGTACGGAGTATGCAGGTCTACCTCCGTTGGGCTTTACCGGTTCTGGTTCCTCTTTACTCTTCTCGTGTTACAGTGTCAGTGCGGGATGGAGACGAGACAGATGAGGAAGGACAGCAATGCTACAGTCCCGACCTATTAGGATTCCTGAGAAGTGACATTGGATCGATCGCTCATGCATGAAGCATGGGGTTGAAGTGGACGGGAAAGCCAGTCGGGATCTATCCGATCTATCACATGGCGGTGAATCGCGCTGTGGCTGAGCAGCTGTGGCGCCTAGATCCCGGACTTACTTCGGAAGAAGACCCCGATTCATTCACTAATTTTGATTTTATGTCAAGGCAAGAGATCGAAAGAATGCGACCTAGCGATGATAACGATTTCAAGTGGGTTTAACCTAGGGGTGGGAGATATCTCCTCTGTAAAGAAAACCGTAAAGGTCTCGGAATGATACTAATGGGGAGGAAACCTTACACCACGAACAGGTCCAACGGTCATGGAAGTGGAGAAAGGGATTACCTGGTAATCGCGATTGCTAGCTTGAGTATGATTTACGGGGCAAAAAAAAAAGAAAGAAAGAAAGAAAGAAAAGAGTGATATACTAACAAGGTAAGTCTAGTAGCACTGGTCTCAATTCACCGACATTGACAGAAACCGGTATACCTACATACATATACAGGGCAGCAGGGAAACCAAAAAAGAAACGAAGAAATAGGGCGTCCTTGTTGACAGAGAAAATCCCCTTCTGGCTTGATCAAAAACCAAGAACCCATCCATCTGTACCCCACCACCGAGACGCCCGCAGCAGATCTCCCTGTCTTGACTTGAAAGAAGGATCGCCAAGCCGTGAGAATCAAGCGATTAGCGTTTCCCGACAAGTACTACTTGGGGGCGCGACCCTGTTACGGTAGGAAGGGGTGTGTGTGGATAAGAAAGAAATCGCCGAGCAATCCCGTCCTATCCCTGCGTTCACGCCTATCATGAATCATTAGGTGGCAGCACTACCGAAAACAGCAGTGTCAGCCTGCAGCGCAGGGAACCATCGGTGGACATTAGTTGGTACATCGATGGTAAGGAATGGAACTTTTTTTCTGCAAGGCAGGAGTCGGTAAGGATCATGCAGGCCATGAGATCCACACTTCACTAACCATCAGTTCATTACTCGATTGGTATTTTGGTATTATACAGCGACTAGGGTAATAAATTATAAATGCCTGATATTTTAAATAAAGAGAGAGGAGCCACGCACCAGCCACTCGAGGTGGTTAGTGGGATCCACTCAGGTTATTTATTTAAATCTATTTGATCTTTGTTTGATTATCTTGTCAATTTCAAATTTAATTCTTGTATTTTTTATTATTATTATTTTGATTTTCATCGACCATACAGCTAATTATTCCTCCACCCTTGAGTGCAAGTCTATACTCTCACGTCGATCAACCCCAGAAACCAACCCGTCAACATACTATCTATAGGATCGTCGCACCCCATCAAAGCTTCTCAGATCCAATAGCACCAATATTTGTGGATAAAAAAAAATAGTCTCATACTTACCGCTTCGAGAGATCTGCACATACCTCACATCTTCGGCGGGCGCTCAGACAATATCTGAAATCAAATTCCTAGCCAATCGCATCGCGTGGAAGTTAGATCCAGCATTGCAATCCTCGAAAAGGCCACCTTTCGATACCCAACGCCATGGTAAATAATCCGCTGACGTTAACTCTCAGATAGTAGATACCCAGGTAACCACCCAAGGAGGATCATACCTATATCTTCAGCGATGAACTAGTATTGACGCCCTTGAATACTTGATAGTCAGAGTCCCCGCAGTCTCAGGCTTTCAATGACTCAAGCTAACAAGAATTCCAAATAACTCTTTTTTATATATATATATATATATATATATATAAAAGAAAAAATGAGAAAACGAAAAAAATGAAAAAAGACAGAAAACAAAGGGGGAATAAAACCTACTCACCAAAAAATGCATAAAAAAAAAGGTGCAAACTGTCACCCCCCACAAAACAAGTAAACAACCAAACCTCCCACCACCGATTTCTCCCACCTATGATCTCCGTTTCAAATATGATCCAACACACTAACTACCCCCGAACAAGCCACCAACATTAGTGACCACCTGCAAACTGCACAAGAACGCCGTTCAGGTTTCTACCCGATGCCTCCCGCATCCCGGTATTCGGGATTTGGCCAGGGATATATCATATGCAGGACGTGTGTCCTTGTACATGCAGATGTCTAAGCGACTGTGCGGTCGCAGCGAATAGTCCTGTTTACTGTTTCTATTTCTTTTCCTTCAACTTATCCTTTCTAGTTACTTGTACATACATACTACACATACATACATAAATAAATTACTAGTTCCATTATCCATACGATGTATATACTATGTTACCTGATTTTGCTTTAGTTTGGGTATTGTATTGTCTGTCTGTATGTCTGTATGTACGTGTATGTATTATGTATATTGTGTATAGCTGATTTTTGGGTTCTTTTTTTTTTGGCATGATGGTGTACTGAGTTGTAGGTGTAGTTGGCTAGTAGCTACTTTAGCTTAAAAGACTTGGATAGGCGTCCTGTGGATGTGGTTTGGGTATTAAGTCATGACCCAACTTAAGTGGGTTCATTGTTGCGCTGTTTTGATTGCTTTTCTTCTCCCCTTTTTTGTTGTCTTCTTATGCTTCGTTGGTAATGTGCTGGTGGTGGATTGGGGGTTGGATATAGGGTCTGTGCGGTGCGGGGTTTCTCTTTTCTCTCTATCACTCTTCCCCTTCTTCTTCTTCTTCTTCCTTCTCCTCCTTTTCTTCATTATTGTTCTGCTTAGACTTGCTTTGAGGGTGGAGAGTGGGGAAATATGGGCTTAGATATGTATAATGTGGGTTGAGATTGGAGTGGGGGTTCGGGTTTGGGTATATCTTGGTCCGTTGGGTAGGAAGATAGTATTGTATCTAGTGTGGGTGATTTGTGGTGTTGTGGGGATAGTGGATGAGGGGCTGGTAACTGGATGTAGGGGGGATTAATGTGTAGTGTGTAGAGTTTGATATTGGTTGCCCTTAGGAGCTATTCCATGGATATGGTGTTTTGCAAACTACGTAAAATGAGCTTTGAAGAAGTTCGTAATGGTTATTATGAGGTGATATATGGCTGATGATTGGATTTATCTAGCGAAGGATAATATATAGTTCCATTGCTATGTGGTTGAAAGTAGGGCTATAGTCGGTGGTTGTATAATTTCAACTCTTGTGTAATAATTTAGATTTATATGTCTGATCGTGATGTGGTATTTGAGCTACTAGGTAAATGTCTCTGGATGATGCCTGCAACCGCGGAGAGTATGCTATCTCTGCGAAGACGGACTAAATTGTGACTAGTGTATCATGCTATCTGATTATCGTTCGGCCTATCTATATTGATTGTATATGCTACTCTAGTTCAACCAAGGGCAGGTAGTGGCCTGGCTGAAGTACCGGCACTGGTTGTAGTGATTGTATGTGATATTAAGGATTACATACATGCATTTGGCCTGAGTAGGTCTATCATGACAGAAGAGACTACTTGTATGGAGACATATTTCCAGCTACTGTCTTTCCGTTGTGCTTTTGGCTCTCCGTTGACGTGATTAGCCTTAACGTTCGAATATGAATCGAAAGCTCTACAGGGACGGCTTCCACGATACCAATAGTTGAATAGCCCTAGTCATTCATATCCAGATATGTGAAACAATGTCACCCCAAATCCCAACTATACAGTCAACGAAACCCAAGAGCAGGCTTCGTGTAGACTCAACCACCTAGCTTAAGATCAATCTCACGAAGATCATGGTAAACCTTCTGCCACAGCTGATATCGCACGTCGTCGAAAGTCGGCTCCCGTTCTCATCATCCCAATGAAAGGTAGTACCGTACTTGAGAAGGTTTTTGAGCACCGAAGCGCGATATTCAGAGTCCCGGTGTCCATGTCCATGCGTATCCAGATGTAGACGCTCCTCACTGCTTTCCACCTTTCCACTTGCATCCCTACGATCCCAACTCACAATCTCCGGGGCATGTCCATGATTTTGACCTTGCATGTCATTCTCTCTCCCCTCCTCATCATCACCATCACCAGTGACATGTCCTTCATGATTAATAACCGTATCCACCTCACTACCATCCTCACCGTCAGCATCAGCATCAACATGACCTCTCTCACCATTACGCTCATGTTCACTCCTCTCCCACTCAGAATCAGACTCACTCAGCCCCTCCTCCTCACTATATTCATCCCCCACACAACCCCGAAACCCACCCCCACAATCACTCCCATCCCCAGTCTCATGTTCCTCATCCACAACAGGATTGACCTTCTTGATCTTAAGCCGGTCATCGCCCCCCCAGCTGGATAATCAAGAGACACTCCTCCAGGAATGCGGCCATCTCGGCCCACCACTTCCGGTCTGGGATACCAACGGGCATCAGGGCCCAGACGGTATATAGCGAGGCGTAGTAGATGTAATGCATATTGTGTGGGGAGGTTTGTTTTTTTTTCTTTTTCGGAAGTTGGATTCGGGATAAGATCGATGATGATGATGATGATGATGATGATGATGATGCTGAACGGGTTGAGTTATACGCGATGGTTGTTGTGTATGAATGACTTTGTAGTAGATAGATAGATAGATAGATAGATAGATCGGTTCTTTTGTTGGGTTGGTGGTCCGTGGATAAAGGCTTTGTTTGTTCTTTGTCTTTGTTCGGTTGTCTTCCTTGGGAATGACTCCGAATGAGTCAGATAGTTCAATGTAGATATATTGAACAAATCATGAGTATGTAAAGATGATATCAAGATAGCAATATAGATTAGTTCCTGTCCCCTTCAACTTTGGAAACGCGCCTCTCAGATATGGTAGTTCAACTCCAGACATCGATGCATTTCCATATTTACATCGTGATTATACTACCATGCTAAATTGAATTGTGGTGCTTGTTTATGATCTTTCCTTGTGAGTCTCGGCGTGGCTGTCGTGAAGGATTTAGTTTTATTGTCGCGGTAATAGAGGCCTTTGTGGTTTGTTGGGTAGAATGGCATTGTTGGCTTTGTGAGCGGATTCACGGTTGGTATTATTTTTCTCTTTCTTCTTTTTAACTGTTGTTACTCTGTATCTTGGGAGAAGGGGGATGGATGAGATTGGATTTGGGTGTATGGAGTTTATCAAACTAGAATGATATTCTGGCTGAGATTGTCGGTTATGGGTCTGGGATAAGAAGTACTAATATATGCCTGGACTGTTGTAGGTTATTAGTAGATACCGGGTAGTATAGTATGCCCATGAAATATCTAGATACATAGTATAAATCTAGATATACTCGATTATGATTAGAAACTGTACACATTACAGACTCAACCCAAGTACTATCAAACAAAGACTATGACCCAACGAAAGCAATCGCAGCAACACCACTGATATAATATACTGTACAACTCCAACCACAGAATACGGCTCAAGTCCATGAAAAGCACATTCGGCATGTACAATGTCCTACCTCCCAAGTCTAGTCCTACATAGTCCATTGCCGAAACAAAGAAAAGACAAAAACTAGTCCCTCTCTTCCGTTAAGTACGGGTATGGGGCCAAATGAGTGGAGATGGTATCCGGCGCTCAGCATTACTATCACTCCTTTCGAGTAACTATCTAGGGAACAGACTGAGCGAAGAGAATTTGATAGAAAAAGGAATAGCCACGACAGGACTCGACTGCATTCTCCCGGTATGAAACCAGACCGTGTAAACAGTTCCGCCCCGCAGCGATTATTACTTATAGTTTTAAGTATGAACAGCCCTGAGTGAAGTACTGGTTACCTTTTGAATGGGCCGCTTATGGGCTACTTCTATCCTAGGATTTTGACCGATAGGACTTCTTATTATAGGTGTTATTTGTTAAATGAGGGTGGGGGTAAAAGGTAGAAGCAGGATAATGGGAGGTGAATTGTTTGATTGTGGGTAAATGTGTAGGTCTATGCCGTTGGACTTGGTGGCGATTATAAAAGTATACTCATTCGGACTTCTAGAGATCTGTTCTGGGTTGCTTGATGTTTTAGTTGGATGTGATGTTTTAGGCACTGTCTTCAATGAGGTATTTGTTATGCTGGTTAGGTCAAGAGCTCTGGTTGGTGATTAGGGTTGATATGGATCCGGGCTACCTATATAAGGGACCTACGTAGAGAGGTAGATTAGTAGCGTTGGCTCTGCAATAGGTCCACTAATGAAGGCTTCTTGGTGATTGTAATAGGATAAGTTCAGGGCTTACGGTAGTAGAGGTCTTTGTGCAGAGCTAATGTGGAATCCATGTGTAGATCTCCCAGGTCCTCATGAATGCCATGAGTTGTACACTTTGATTGTCAATGACCTACGACCGGACACTGTTTAACCCAATAATATGCCATTAGGTATTGCTACCAAATAATCTATGATGTGACAACCATAGGTTTTGACAGTAAGAAAAAACCTGGCTCAACCAGGGGAGAATCAGAAAACCACCCGCTAATGACATGCAAAGAAGAATCCGACAAGTATACGTAACCCAATAAATCCGAACAACACTTCCCAAGTGCATGCAAATAAACCTAATGTACCTGACCCAAACAATGTATGAAACAGCTAAGGTCAACTCAGCTCAACTATACTCTAGAAAGATATGTATGCCATCACCAAGTTTCCTGGTTTCGTCGTTAGTCACAAATCATCATCATAAAAGTCGTAATCACTTACAGCAATGTATTGGCCAGCTTCCTTCTTATTGTCCCAGAACAATTTGGCCTCATCCTCGTTCAGGTTACCCTTGGCCATAGCGACATCAACCAGAGCAGCCTCAACGCCCTCGCCCATGCCCTTGCCGCTACCGCAGACAAAGACACGTCCGTCCAATGCGTTGATAACATACCAGACCAGGTCGGCTTGGTGACGGACCTCTTCCTGGACGTATCTGCTCTCACCACGACGGCTTTGAACCACCGTTCGTACCTTTTCCTCATCGACGCCCCACTCGCCGCGGTAGAGCTCGTCCAGGAGGGAATCACGCACACCCTGTAGAACCCACACCTTGTTGGCACAGTTGGCCGATTGCAACCGGCGCTGGACAAAACCACGGAAGGGAGCAATGCCCACACCAGCACCAATCAGGAGCATGGGGCCGTCCGAGTGGAACCGCTTGGCCAGTGGGTTGGCCATCAAGCCCCGGAACATGGGGACATGAAGATTGAGAGTTGAAGGGTCGATGCCCTGACGCTCCGCCTCCATCACTTGCCGTGCCAGCCGCTCAAGGTGCCCCGATCCTACACCGGTTCGCAATCCGCCCTTCCAGTCATTGGATTCTGCCACACTAACGGCAACTTCGACGAGACGGCGGGATTGGCCACCCTTTTGGGCAGACGAGAGGAGTGGGTCTTGAGACAGAGAGTAGAAACGGGGCATTAAAGTGTTGAGAACGGAAAGCAGATGGTCCAAGGGCGGCTGAGACGAGGAGAATGCGTGCAGAAGTTGAGACACGGAAACATGAGAGGAGGTTCGGAGATCACAGAAGGCGCCTTGGCCCTGAGCTGAGGCGAGGAACATGAGAATCTTCTTCTCGTTTGGCTCACTGGCGTATTCACCCAAAAGACGGAATAGTTCCTTCGACGGGGAGTAACTCTGAATATCTGAGCACCAGTTCAGGAGCTCCCTGCGTGTTGTGATCAATTCACGGGCTTGCTCGTCACCCCAGATAGTGGGCCACCGGCCTGTGCTTGTGCGCACTGTGATCTTTTTATCACGGATCGATTTTGGAACTCCAAGGCAATTGAAAATATCGTCAACCTCCTCCTCTTTGTTCATAGGACACACGCCGATTGCGCCACCAACAACGAAGTCCACATTGCCACTTTCCGCGGGATAGTCGGTCACATCGATGTCGAAATGGTAGGTCCGTTTCTCAGCACCCGACTTGGTGAGTTCTCGCGCGTGGTGCAGAGGAGCGCGGTATACATTGTACGGGGGGTGAGGCTGGACGAAGGGAGGCGGGTGATCCTTCGGTCCAAGTTGCGTCTCCACAGCCGATGCAGGGATAGCTGCAAAGGACACCGTCTTTGCGGGAAGGTCAACAACATCGGTGAGCTCACTGTCCATGGTAAGGAGATCGACGTTCAACTTGAGAGCGTCATATGCCTTATTTTGAGGTGGAGTCACCATGACGCCGGAGACAGGACCATCGCCTCTGATCAGGGGCTGGCTACGGCAGCATCCACCGCCACAGCACAACGGCTGAATCTTCTGCGTGCCTGGAGCACCAACGTTTTGCAGAACTCGTTGCATATCGGCGGAGTTCTGGGAGATAAGCACAGTCGAGGCTCGGCGTCGATGGCCGGTACCATTTTCCTCTGACTTCTGGGCTACATCTTCGGCGTCCGACTGAGGCTCAGTAGGGACAGTCGACGGAGAGCCCGAGCTAGGAGTGCTATCGGTTTCTGTGGACGAAACATTGAAGGTCATGTCCGTCACCGACAATGACCTCACACCACGGGGTTCTTCTGGCACCGGGTTATCCGGGTGCGAGGTGGACGACACCGGAATGGCATGGTGGTCGCCATTGGGAGTATAAGGGGTCTTTGACACCGCCGTAGACCTCGGCGGTGGTGAAGGGACGGCATGCACTGTTACAGGAACCAAGGTTAGCTACCTAGGCAGGAGATAGAGAGCCAATTGGCTATAACAGCCAACAGAGGGTCACATACCCATTGTGTCGGTACGTAATTGATACAATAACGGGGTAATCACTCGTCGAAAGAAGGGTACTGGCCAGATCAATCGAGAACTGGGGACCAGAGATGTGGTGATTGCTTTCCGGGGACGGGTGTTGAATTTATAAAAGGATTGTGTAGAAGAAAGGGGGGGAAGGAAACGACCAAGCCAAGCGATAGAGGAATGGTCTTAATTAGCAAAGTGGAAACGACAATGGCCGTTTGACACCAGTAGGATCCGGAGAGCAAATCGGAAGAGTGGACGGGAGAGAGTGGGATGAGGTGGGAATTTGCTGAACTCCTCTTCGGCCTGGGGGGGGCACAAATCGGCACCGGGATAATGGTTCCGTCGTTGGCGCTATGTCAGCTGAGGGTCGATCATTCAGGAAGTTCTTCTCTTTCTGGGTGATGGAGAACCTCAATCAATGGAGAATGTGGACTTGAACCGGGAGAAGGGAGAGCAGTCCAGCAGAAAGAAATAATGATGTTTTTTTTGGGGGGGGGGGGACGCTATCACCCAACTTGCAGGAAAGGCAAATCAGATAAGGAGTGAAATAAGAATGATGTGAAGGGGAGACAGCCGGAAGAGAGAAAAAAAAATATGGGCACACAATCTCGCCACATTGATTTTCATTCGCGGTGAGTAAACGTCATTACACTTATCGTACGCGGTGGTAACTTTTCCTTTCATCCACTTTTCGCCTTCCGGGCGACTGACCCGGCATTTCTCTGCCCTGCCTTTATACTGTACGGTGTACTGTACTGCGCTCTCACGGCTTAATGGCAATCCATTATACCTGCCAGTCCCGCTGCTTACTATCCTCTGTGGGATCATAGGAGGAGAATGATACAGTCATCCACGCCTAAGATCTCCGGGGACTGACAAGTGTTCAGCCAGATCTGCAGCTAAGCGGAATCTTTTACTCTAGTGGGGAAATAGTCACGCAGTCAGATGACCGGGAAGGAGCGGTATATCCAGCCGTGTTGAAACTACATTCATACTCGATTGGTCTGAATTGATTGGATTTTGACCTCTCTTTTCTCTATCGTTGTTCCCTTCTTGCTTTCGATGTGCCCATGAGCAAGTGAAAGTTCCTCTGTGACAATACGACCGCAGGTACCGGTCTGTAACGGAAGGGTAGCCGAATAGATTACCGATCTAATCTGATCCGGCTGGCAACCCATCCCTGCTCGGCGGCCGCCCTCGGTTAAGCCGTTGATTAAGCGTCCTCCACCCGAGGCTGCGTGCGTGACACTCATGAATGTCAAGGGGGGGGGGGGTTTCATACCCCTTCTGATAATAATAATAATAATATCATGCTTATCATTATTTGCTAATGAAATCACGGGCGTCATATTCCTCAGTCACAGACTCTTTCCTCCCCCATTCTTGGGTGGTCTCAGTCCACGGACGCACGTGATCCACACAAGAACAATGGTTCCGGATCAGATAACTTAGTGGATGGCGCCGTTCTTCTCCGAATCACCCCACGCCGGAAGCAGTCAGCGCAACCTCCTGAGCTCTCAGGAGAATGTGTCCTGACTTCTGAGCTATG